GGCAGCTCACAGCAGATCATAGTGAAGACACCACCTCAGACTCAAAGCCTCACCCTTTTCTTTCCACTCTGCTGCCTTTCCATTGACTTGGAGAAGGAAGGAAATGAAAGGATTCAAATTGAAGCCTTTGCTGAGGTCTCCTCTGCGTGGAATTAGTTCTGGAGGCCCGCTTCTCTCTCCCCTCCACTGGACATTCACCTCCTCTCTCTAATGGTGAGACTCAGAGCTGTCCCTCCTCCTCCAACCAGCCAGCTCTGTGAATGGCTTTTGGTATTGAGGAGGAAGATTCTGGGCCAGAAGCGGTCAGTCATTCATTGATCCCCTGGGCGAGCATTTATTTACTGTTTCCAGAAGGGCACTGAACCCCAGAGAGAAAGGAAGAAAGCAGCACTGAGATTCCGTCTCCCCAAGAGCTGGCGCCATTGTTGGCAGCTCTGGAAGGCCAGCTCCCTTGTTTCTTAGTGTGGAGACTGAGGCTCAGAGATGGAGGAGGCATGCCTGCAGCCCCCCGGACATGAGAGAGCTACAACCCAGGCTTTTAAGTTCCCAGCTCAGAACTTTTTGTTTAAGCAGGAGATCAGGGGCTGAGCTGACTGGGACATGAGGGACCCACTGGAGATTCAGAATCTGCAGGTCTGGGATAGATCCTGGGTTTCTGTACCTTTTCTAAAGTTTTGTAGGGGATGCAATTTAGAAGTTGTTGTGGGGCACTACTGCCTAAGTATAAAGAACATGCCTCTGGAAACTCTATGAACTTTGAGAAATGATGATAGTTACAGAAAGGCTTCAGGTCTTTTGTTCACAGGGTCGATATGAGTCATGCTTGACTGGACAGCAATCCACAACAAAACCTGCCTAAATATAGGTGAGGGTGGAGAGAGAGGACTTGAGTGAGTTCTAGAAAATAATGACTTGAGCTGGAGCAGCAAGAGGTTCGTGAGCACAAGTTATCAAAGATACCTTGGGCTGCTAACCTAAAAGTCATTGGTTCAAATCCACCAGCTGCTCTGGGGAAGGAAGATTCCACACATCTCCTCACACATGCCTGTAGAGATGCTGCCAGAAAGGCCTAGATGGGATTTAGAGGCAGCTTGGACCCAATGCTTCCACTTCCTCGTTGCTAAGTCTTGGGAGATGCCTTTGGGTGGCACAGATTAACCAGATGGTTGGTGGGTCAAATCCACCCAGAGACACCTGGGCAGAAAGGCCCAGGCATCAATTCAGAAAAATCGGCCTGTTGGAAGTTGGACTCGGATGCATGAGGTCGCCATGAGTTGGAATCAATTCAATAGCAACTTTTTTCAGGCCCTTGGAGGGCTGTGGGCTTTTGTTTGCTCTGTGGCAGATATACAGGCCAGAAGGCACCCCTACATACCTTCAGGGCTTGGGGAGCCATTCTTAATGTCTGCTGATGCTCTGTTCTCCTGTGATTTGGGTTGCTACTGTGTCTTCTACCACCCCAGCAGACAAAACCTTTGGTTTCCTTTGGTTGCTTGAGAAATCCGTGGCTCAGAATTGCAAAGCTCAAAAGATGTTCCGCCAGCTGTTGGTGAGAGACTGAGTTATGGAGGAGCTTGTCGGATGGGAACAGCTGTTATTTGTCCAGCTCCTTTAAGCCAGAGGCCCGGAGCCTCTGTAACTATGTGCTTCTCGATCCCCTTGGCCATCCTGACAGAGGCCAAGCAGCTGTTGGTCTGTTTCCGCAGACGGTGATCCAAGACTCTGAGAAGGGAAGAGATCTATTAGGGTGCTGTAGAAATGGTGTGGTGGGGCCATCCGGCCTCCTGTAATTTCACAGGGAGGGAAGAGGATCAGGATCAGCAGCCCAAGGCTGATTCTTAGAAGGCAGAGGTCAGATACACCTCCACCCTCTCAACTGTTCACCATTTCTGATACCAAATGTCCCTCCGACAGCATTCTCTACTGGGTTGACTCACTGCAATGGCCACACAAAACTCAGAAATAATTCTGACCGTTTTGGGGTTTAGCAGTTTACAGTGCAAGTTCAAGGGTACTCCAATCAGGTTGGCCTTTTCAGCTGTATCCACAGACAGGTTTCTCTCTGACGTTAGTCCCTTTAGTCTGGTCTCTGCCCTCCTTGGGCAAGTGTTACAAAAGCTCTTTATAGTGACAAGAAAGTTCTTTAGCTCCACGAGTAAGTGCCCAGAGGCATGCCATGCTGTCAGTAAGCCTTCGGCAGAAGGCTCTCAGCTTTCTCTGCAGGAAGCCTGGCACCTGTCTCCTGCTCCTCTCCTGGTTCTACTTCCACCGTTTCCCTCCTGCTGCTTCCTGCAATCTCCAGTGCTATAGCTCTCTCTGTCGCCTCAATCCAGGAGGTTCTTAATGCACACGTCCTAGGTCCAGAGACTAGGGGCTACTCCTAACTCAGTCTTAGTTGTATTGAGGTTCCCATTTTTCCACTTGACGGATTGGTTCATTTTAAGTGTAGTAGGATGGCAAAGCTGATCAGTCCCCTTATGAGGATTCTATACATTTTATTTCATGGTCTCACTCCCACAAGGGTGCCATCCTCCTTATTATGTTATTAGCAAACTATCCAGTCCCCGTGGTGGGCCACAAGGACTGCATTTGCATACTTTGATCCAGTCATTTCTTGAATGTTCTGCAAACTGTGGTTAGAAAGGCCACATTAAGTAATTCATTGTATCAAACTTTCCCTGAAACAGAGCTGAGCAGTGGGATTTATATCTGTGCCCTGGTCCCTGTCTAAAGTCCCCCTGACTATGCTGTTCTGCAGGAAGAAAAATGGTCGGTATGATAATCAAAATAGCATTTACACTTGCTCTCAATTGACCTACATACAGATCGACTTTTGTCATTTTGTCTTACTTAGTCTATAAGGTAAATTAACATTTCATTCCCAGAATACAGTAAAGGTGCAGGGATCTAAACAAGGAAATCAGGAGCCTTGAATTCTGCCCAGGCTCTGCTAGTAGTCATGACCCTGGGTAATGGGTGGATGGGAGCATGGGCTTGGGGCCGCAGGGACACCAGTGAGGGTCTCTGACCCTCATTCCTCACTGCTGTAAATGAAGAGTTAGATTTGATTCCAAGCTCTGCTACACCTCACAAATGCTACACATCCTCAGAGATTGGGACTTAGCAGATACCAGAAGGCATCCAGGGGTTTCTGAGTGGCACAGATAGTTAAGTGCGTGACTACTAACTGAAAGGTTGGTGGTTCAAATCTACCAAGCAGCACTGTAGAATAAAGAACTAACAACCTGCTTTCATAAAGATTACAGCCAAAAACACCTTATGGGCCAGTTTGACTCTGTGTAACACACGAGGTCACTATGCGTAGGAATTAAGTCAACAGCAGTGAGTTGGGGGTTTTGGGTGGTAATTGAAAGGTTGACAATTCAAACTCACGCAGAGACTTCTAGGAAGAAAGACCATCTGCTTCTGAACAGTCAGAGCCCTGAAACCCCTGTGAAGCACCATTCAGCTCTGCCGCATGCGGGCTGCCAGGGGTCAGGATCAGCTAGCTCCATGGCAACAGGTTTTCCAGTTTAGGAGCGGTCCTGGCACCTGTGTGGTGCATGGTGGGGGCTGACTCAGCCAATGGTCTTTGCAGCTCCTGCAGTTGAGTCTGGCATAGTTAGGTAACAGGGTGACGGCAGCTTGAACCCAGTTGATGTAGAGTCAGGGCCCTGTGGGAAATTGGCCCTTGCTCCTTTCAAAGCCCCAGCCTACTCTCAGGGCACATGTCCTCTGTTCTTTCAGGCTGGCCTTTTGGGGTGAGGGAAGCCAATCTCCATTGCTTTAGGGACAGCAGTATCGATAGGTCTCTCGATTTGGGTGGTGACTCTAAGTTGAGTAATTTCTTGTCACCACTCCTGACTTTCCAGAGGGAGGATGATCTTAGACAGATTTAAACTTCTAGATTGGTGTCTTCACAACCCCAAGCAACCCATCCTCTCAGCTCATATCTGAGAGCTGCTTCCCCTTGTCATTTGGTGTGTTCTCGGGGGAGACAAACTCATTTCAGCATAAGCTCGAGCAAAGTGTAATTAGGACAGTAAATCTGCAGTTTAACCAGGAAAAAAAAAAGGCCACCCAATAGATCTCAAGGTCCCGGAAAAGTGACTTGCCAATGAAGGAAGGGTGTGTGAGAGCTGGCTTTGCATTTAATTTCTTCCAGCCGAAGGATCCAAATCCAAAACATGGAGGCTCGACTCCAGAAAATGCAGCCTGACTTGTAGAAGCGTATTGTCAGAGTGTGAGGATGTAGAAGTTGGGATGTGACTGTGTGGAAGGGGTTTTTTTCTCTCTTCGTTGGCCCCTCCGCTCCCACCTAACTCACTTTCCTCCCTTACTGTTTATTGAACAATTACCATTTTTTCAGGCAGTGGTGGGACTGTTGCCAGCTCCTAGCAAGTGGACTCCGACTCCTGGCAGCTGTCCAGCCACCGTGTGGCCGTTGGGCTGGTGTCAGGGTGAAGCTGGTGGCCAGGACTGCCTGTGGAGGTGGGGCTGTGGACAGAAGGGCCTGGACTCCTGAGTTCTGTTTGTGACCTCTCCTGGGCCCTGCTGGGTGGCTTGCAGGTGGGCCCTTTCTTTCCTGTAGGCCTCTGTTTGGTGATTCAGAGAGTGGAAGCTGTGACTGCATCACTCTTTCTCAGCAGGGTGAGTTGTAGGTATCTGAACTTGAACTGGGTTTCCCACTGGGGGAACGAGTGTCTCCTTCCTGCCAGTCAAGCCAACTCTCCTCCAGAAAGCACTCTTGGCTTAACAGCACCTGAGCTGATTCCTTGTGTTTGTTTTCCTTCTTTAGAAGCATTTTTAAAAAATATTGCAGGGGTTTTTGCCTGGAGACTTTCTCCGTCTCCAGATGGACCCAGTGCATCCCCAACGCCAGCTTGACTCTCCCTGACCAGGCCGCACCCCCCGCCCCCACCTTGGTGTAACCCCAGCACTGATCAGGCCCGTTCTTGTCTGACCAGCAGGTCCTTCTAGCCTTCTTCCGTGACTCCCGGGCTCCTGGTACCCTGTGTTCTGACCTCCCACTTTCCTGGCCAAGATGTTCCTGGTGGGCCTGACAGGGGGCATTGCCTCGGGCAAGAGCTCCGTGGCCCAGGTGTTCCAGCAGCTGGGCTGTGCGGTGATTGACATGGACGTCATTGCCCGGTATGGTAAGTGCTGTGAGGGGGTGTCAGGGGGGTTCCTATCAGCACCCTCTCTTCTACCGTGCCGCATTCTTTTCATCCTTTACTTCAAGGCCTCAGAGGAGGCATAGGCTTCCTGTCTGTCCTGTTCATGCCCTCTTGGCCCTTATTGGCACCTCTCTGCTCCTTCATCTTGCCTGTTACCAACAGGACAAGTCTGTGCCCTTTCTTTTCTCTAATTGCCTTCCCTCCCCTCGTTTCTTACTCTGTTTCTCATTTTTGCTGTTGAGAATCCACACCGCAGTACATAGACAAATCCAGCAGTTACCTCAGGGCAGTGGACTGATCATGTTCTTCAAGACCATTCTCACGCTCTGAGTGATTTTCCCCAGAAACATCAACCCTCTGCCCTCTGACTGACTGACTGTCCTCAGGTCGGACCTGACTCAAGCTGAACCTTCAGCGGTTTCCAAGGCTGCCAGTTGCACGGGTGGAGATTGCACATCTTCTTCCAGTAGGGCAGACGGTGGATTCGAACCACCAGAGAGTTGTGGCCTTGGAGTTGGTAGCACAACTCGTTACAGACTGCGGCACCAGAGCACCCTTCTCCCCGCTAAGGTTCCTGTTTACTCCTTCAAGTTGTTGTCATCAATTTGACCCCTTATAGATAGATATTGATTTGTTTGGTTGGGGGTTTTTTAGGTAATGTGCCCATGTTATAACAAGGGTGAAAGGATGGCACATGTCATAGAGAAGCATGAACACCCAATCATCATGCTTCTGAACTGGCAAAGGATCTAAATATAGACAGTTTTAAAGAGGATAGAACTCAAGGACTTGAGGGGATATTTCTGGGTTACTGTTTAAAGATGAGCTCAGGGCAGAAGTGTCAGGGTTCATCCAGTCCCCAGAACTCCAGAAAAAGCCCAGAATCCCCAATTTCACTTTGGTTTTGCTCTAGCTAAAAGGAGTACCCTGGGTTCCTCCTGTCATCTCAGTCACCTGTGCGCCTCCAGCTGGCCTGGGTGCTCCTGACAGTGACCCGGCCTCCCTCCTGTGCCACAGTGGTCCAGCCAGGATACCCCGCCCACCGGCGCATCGTGGAGGCCTTCGGTCCAGGAGTGTTGCTGGAGAACGGTGAAATCAACCGCAAGGTTCTGGGAGACCTGATCTTTAAGCAGGCTGATCTACGGCGGCTGCTCAACACCATCACCCACCCCGAGATTCGCAAGGAGATGATGAAGGAGACCTTCAGGTACTTCCTCCAGGGTAAGAGCCAGGGTTTACAACAAGTGCTGGGGCGGTCTCTGCGGACAGCTCGGCTAGGGGTGGGGGGAGCTCCTTATCCAGGCTGGTCTGTTCACACTGTTTGTTATTAATACCACCTTCCATGTACCGGCCCCGCATGTCCCTGGACTCTTAAGGAGGTTAACAATTTAATGAGAAGAGGCACATGAAGCCTTTCATCTATGATCCCTAAGAAGTAAGCTGGCTTTTCTGGTGCAGAGAGGGATGATAACAGCTGACACATTCAAGTCCTGGCCCTCATGGCTGTGTGACTTGGCGGAGTGATCCCGTCCCTCAGCCGGTTTCTGCATCTGGATAGTCAGGGTATGAATGCTGACCTTGGAAAGCTATTTGGGGGAACTGAAAGTCCATGTTACGGACAGTCACTACACAGCGACAAACCAGGGTCAGAGTCAGATTTGGGACTGGTGGGAAAGTAAGTTTGTAGCTGGAATAGAAGTTGGAGAAAGACCAAGATGGCCAGGGCAGGTGGAAGGAGTTCTAGTTGGGGAACCTTTATCCAGAGATAGGTAGGCATCGTGGTTAAAGTCATCTTGGCAGGTGCAGGGATAGCCAGGGGCATCTTCACCTGCAAGGAGGGGTTGTTGCTATTGTTGTTGTATACTGTCAAGTTGGAGCTGACCCCCCAGCAGGTTTTCAGAAGCAGTAAATTGCAGAGAAGGGGAGAGTGTTTGGAAAGCAGAGATTTGTGACCATTGGTTAGAACTTTGTTCATGCAGCTGTCAGCAAGTTCTTTGAAGCCATACACCACAAATCAAGCCTTGTTCTGCAGGCTGGTGTTGGGCAGGTGCGACCTGACACTTTCTGCCCAGGATGGGGTCCGTCACCAGGAGCATTGTGGAGTGCAGAGAGCAGTGGCTCAGGGTCAGGCAAGGGGCTCACTTGGGGCCTGACTTGGAGGATCAGCCAGGCAGCCCTGGGCATACGTGGCCTTCAGTATTGGCCTTGGTGCCAACAGTTTGGCTTCCCACTGTTAGTCATATGGAGGAGCCATTCCTGCCTGCAGGGCATGGGAGAACCTTCCAAATGATTGTCAAACCCCTTTTTTCTCAAAACTTCTCATGAAGTATGTGGGGAACCCTCTTCATTCACCCCTAGCCGGTACCTCCCTGGAGAAGACTTGACAGACATCTATGACATTAAGCCCCCCAGCTTCCCCACATTCTAGCTGGCTCGAACTGGCTCCAGACATCCTCCCCACTGGACCCACTGTGCTGTCCCTCTCAGCACTTTGCCACAGGCCCTCCTGCACCCCCGCCCTAAGAATAGTCTGTAGTCTCCCTGCCTTTGTCTTTCTGTATGAGCCAGTGCCCCTCCCCTCCCCTGCCTGGGAGCGAAGCCTTCTGCTTTTCATTCCTGCCCTTTTGCGTTTGCTCCCAGGCCAGTTACAAGTACATCTGCAGGGCTCCGGGGTGACAGTGCCTCTCTCCTTCTGAAATTAAGCATTGAATAATGTCACCCACTCCCAAGCTCTCCCACTGTGTCATCCACCCAGCCTCCCCCAGCAACCCCACCACCACCACTTAAATAAAAGCCGGAAAGCACTTCTCAGCTCGATAAGGTGAAAAACGGGGACGACAGCTGTGGCTTGCACAGTCCCAGTTTTTCCCTGATGAGTATAACAAATACAACTGTCAAAGTTGGTATAATCAAACGTCAGATAAGATCACCAGCTGTTGGGGAGGTCTCTGTGTAGGCAGACGGATGTCTTAATAGAGTCAGGATAGTTTGCAGAGCTTATCAAGCAGGAGGGATGTGACAGCTGAATAGCCCTTTGCCGGTGAACCAAAGAGCTGGCCATGAGCTCCCGAGAGGGCCGAGTAGAAAGGCCAGTGAGAGGAGAGGAGGTGATGGAGTGCAGCAGGAGACAGAGATAAAAGGTTGTGGCTGGTGCTCCAAGGTGGGGTGGAGGGGGCCAGCCTCCCTCTTCCTGGATCAAGAGTCAAATAACCATCACTTATGGCCACTTAGCAAGGGACTGCGTGAATGGGGGCTGAGTTTGCACATATTTGTTCATTTAATCTTGTAAGGTAAAAAAAATAAAAATCTTGTGAGCTAGGTAGTTTTATGAATTCTTTAAGGGACCTAAGACCACCTAGAGAGCTCTGGTGGCCTAGTGGTAAGAATCTTTACTGCAATCCCGAAGGCATGGAGTTTGAATCTGCCATGGGAGAAGGATGAACAATCTCCTCCTGTGTGATTAACTGCCTCTGAAAATCCAGTGGAAGGTCAGTTATGAGTTGGGTCCAACTCTACGACACACAACACCACCAAGGCCACATGGTGGGCAAATAGAGGACTACAACCTGTACCATCAGAATCTGTGCTCTGGGCCACCTTGCTTAACGGAGGGGTCCTCTCGGGTTTCTTGGCAGCAGGCCCTGGACCTCAGGCACCCAGCCGTCGGGTTGCCTTTGTTTCTTGCACCACCTTGAGCTCCCTGTCATGACACTCAGGTAGTGGTGTGTCTGGTTGAAGGTGTGGGCCCCACATCATCCCACCAGCGGGGCAGCCTCTGTCCTGTCCACACCAGCTATCGCTGGGAAAAAGCAGTCCCTGCCCACGGCCCTGACTGCTTCCTGGGTCCCTCCTGGCCTTGTCACAAATACAAGCGTGCTGGGCTTAAGAGAACAGGGAGGATGTAAGTCAGCATGTTTCTGGGTGGGCATTCTGCGAATATGCCCCCTCACAGAGGATGAGGAAGCCGCCCTTGACTGGCCTTGGCCTGTTCGTAGGAAACCCGCCAATGCCTTCTGCCTCCTTGGAGTCAGTTATCACCAGCTGCCACCTCCAGACCTAATTCCCAGTCCTGGCTGGAGGTCTGCCTCTTAGGTCTCTGAGAAACTGGGTTTCCTTTGGGTATGGGGGAGCCTTCCAGGTTGTCACCAGGCCTTTACCCTGTGATGGCCAAACTACTTTTTATTTAAAAAAAAATGCTACCCCATGACCTCTTTAGTCACCTGTAGAGAGCTGGTAGAGATAACCACACATCTTCTCCAGCAGGGGCCAGGCTCAGACAGGGCTGAGGAGTGTGGGGATCCTTTTGGGGTTTTTTTAGCAAAGATAAGATGAAGTATGGCAGAAGAGGTTGTTATTTGTGAAAACTCTACCCAGCCTTTCACTGTGTCATTTCCCTGCTTGGAATTTATGGCTCCTGAGGTTCAGGATCAAGGCCAGGACATAGTCCAGTACCCAGCAGGTGAAGCCTTGTATCTAGTTCTTCCTCCCCACCTCCCCTACCCCCTATGGGGGGCGGGGGAGGCTTCTCTTACCCTTTCCACTGTCAGACATCTACCCCTTCTGTGAGCACAAATGCCATTCTCCCTGCAAGCCTTCCCCGAGTGTCCAGCCAGAAAGGGTTTCCTGCCGCATTCTGTTCTGAATAGTAACAGGACCTAGCTAAGGTTTGGGATGTGCCGTCCTAGAAGGTCTCTCCCCATTGTTGGGACCCTCTATTCTAGGGGTGTCCCTTCTGTTCCCGTGGCCTATGACTCAGTCATCTTCAGGACGTGCTTGCATAGTTGGACTTGTGGGTTTTCCGGCCTCTCCCCAGGGTACCGCTATGTGATTCTGGATGTGCCCCTGCTCTTTGAGACCAAGAATCTGCTCAAGTACATGAAGCACACAGTGGTGGTGTACTGGTGAGTAGGGGCGGGGCCCAGCCCCAGGCGCTGGGAAGGAGTGCCCCTCCTCTGCAGAGGCACTCAGGGTTGGGCAGCAGTGTCCAGAGACCAGAGAAGTGGACTCCCCCCCCTGGCCCGGGTTGGCCTGACCTGGGGGTAGGTGAACACATGGACCCTACTGTCTGAGCTTGGGAAGGGCTCCCCCTGCTGGCCACCGGCAGCAGTTCAGCCCACGTTGTCATTCACGTTCACTGACTCATTTTCCCTCCGGTAGCGTTTTCAGCTTTGCAAAGCAACTCACACATTTATTGCTTCACGCGCTTTATCTTTCAACAGGAGGTGGTCAGAGCAAAGGCTGAGCCTTCTGAGTTAACAGAGAAAAGTGTGTTTAGGAGTTCGTTCAGGATGACCCAGGCTCGGCATTTTTTTTTCCTGGCATTTTTATGAACGAAAAGTTGCAGGGAGGGAAATGTCAGAGCCCAGCTCCGGAAGGAGCTTTGTTCTCTGAACCGTGAGGACATGAAGCAAGCCAGAATCCAGGTTTGGCAAACAGGAGGATCAAGCTGTCAGGAAAAATGAGTCAGAGTCACAGCAGGGTGAGAGAGTAGATGAGGCTGCAATGTCCCAGCCTCCCAGAAACTTCCCGGATGCCACCTACAAGTGCCGCAGACACCTCAGTGGGCACTGGACTCTATTTGGGGCACAGAGTGGTTCTCTAGAGATTAATGTGTGGGGAGCTCCGTGCATGCTGAGGTGGGGCCTGGAGTGCTGTCTCAATGTCCCAACCCACCAACTCCCTCAGTTTCTTGCCCTGGCTTGTCCCTAAAGCCCACGTGAATCCTGTGAGCCTGGCGTTCAGGGCATCCTTCTCAGCTCCCCCATCAGCCTGTGTCTCCCCATGGAAACTTTCAGCCTCTGTGGATTCTTTGTGCCCTGTTTGTGAACTGAGACCAAATCGGGCCCAGGAAGAATGGAAATGCTCTTTGCCTCAATTCTCAATAACACAATTGGAACATTGTGCCTGGACATGTATGTGTAAAAACCGAGAACGCTGTTAGCGTGCAGGTCAGGACGCAGGGCAGCCTCACAAGGAGACTCGAGGGCGCACTGTACATCTGCAGTCACAGACGACCTCATGTCCACCCTCACCAGCCTCATCCTGCGTTTTCCTTCGTGCTGCTCTGTTTGTTTGCTAAGAGCCAGGGAAGTTGTGGCCTCTGGTCAATGAGTGGGGCTTTGTAGCCACTGCCTGGTCTCTAAGAGATCAGTTCCAGCCTTTGTCAGCTGGAGCCTCTGTCAGAATCCCAGGTGCCAGGCCAGCCCCCCATGAGTGTGTGGGGTGGGGAGGGTGTGTACGTACGATTGTTATGAGGTGCCAGAGAGCTACAAGGGGATGATGATTTGCTTCTCACTAAAGGGGCCTTTTAAGTTACAGAAGTATGCACCCCACCCATGGGCTTTTTTTCAGGCCAAGCTATCCGTGGTACCTCTGAAGTAACATGGGACATTTGTGTGATTGTACCAAAGCGTAAATATCCACATTACAGGAGGCGCCTGCCAGTAGTGGAATAGGTGATTGGGGGAAATCCCATTACCACAAAGACACATACTACAAATAGTAAGGCTTAAGCGAACCCTATCAAGACTGTTTCTGGGTCCCCACACAGGGTTCGGGGAGATTCTGGCTTCACAGATCAGAGGGCCTTGTGTCTCAGCCATGTCCTCAGCAGAATGTGCACCCACAGGCTCTGAGCCATCTCCATTCACCCAGATTGTCCCAGCTCTCATTCCTCTAAATAAGGTTGGACTGTCCTTGTTCTCAGCTGAGCAGGGGTTGACCATGTGATGATAACGTGAAGCACACTATCCCCTGTACTTAAGGAAGCCAGTGGCCTCTTGCAGTTCATTGTCGGGGGGTGGGCTGCCACTCGCACAGGCCTGGTGTTGCCTAGCCTGCTTCCCAAGATCCCTAAGAGACCCAGCTGCAGTGATCAAGTCCTCTCATCTTATAACTAGACAGGTCTGGTGACAAAGCAGAGAGGCCTCGGGTGACATAAAACGGTGCTACAGCCCTTCCTTACCTCATTCCCTATCCAGGGGCTTAGAGCCAGAGGGGCAGTGCAGAGGACCCCAGTGCTGAGGACTGACCGCCGCCAGCCTAGCCAGCAGGGTCCTCGCAAGGAGTAGAGTGAGGGGAGACTAGCTCCCACCTCCTTTGCCTGAAAGTGGAACTCTGAGTATGCCAGTGGAGCAGGACCGAGACTCCAAGAAAGATCTAACTCCAGATCCTGCTCCAGGCTGGCCTTCCTGAGCCCTGTGGTGTCCTGGGGGAGGGAAGCTGGGCCTGCAGCGCTCACACAGTCCTCCTCCTCCATTCACAGTGACCGAGACACACAGCTGAAGCGACTCATGAAGCGGAACAGTCTGACCCGTGAGGACGCCGAGGCCCGCATCTCGGCCCAGCTGCCCCTGGAGGACAAAGTCCACATGGCCCGCCATGTTTTGGACAACTCGGGGGAGTGGAGCGCCACCAGAGGCCAAGTCGTCCTCCTGCACACGGAGCTGGAGCGCTCCCTAGAGTACCTACCCCTGCGGCTCGGGGTTGTCACAGGCCTTCTCGGTGTCGCTGGCCTCCTCTACTGGCTCACCCGCTACTTCCTGCTCTCCCATTAGCCCGGTGTGTGTGCCATGGAGGGAAAGAAACACCAGGTCACGCACCTGTTCTCAACCAGCCCCCCCCCCCACACACACACACTGTAGCTGGACTGGGCCATGCAATGCACGGACCCTTCCTGGGAAAGCATCCTGTTGAAAGCAGAGAAACAACTGTCAGAGCTGTTGTTCTTCCCTCTGGTGCCACCACAACAGTATCCCCTATGGTGATGACAGCAGCACAGAGACTGTGATAAGTGACTTGTGATCATGGAGACGCCCTTTGAATCAAGGGCTGCCCCATTCAGACCTTCTGACAGGATTCTCTGGGGGATGCTGCTGTAGCCCAGCTCCTTGCCTTGGACCTCTCCAGCGCTCCTCACATCCCAGACACTGCCCACCAGCCTTCAGCCGCTCTGTCCCACTAGACTCTCTTGATGCTGTGCCTTCGCCCATGCTGCCACCAACCTGGAATACTTTCTTTCTCTCCCCTACAACTGGCTACCTTCCAGCTGCAATGCTCTGACGCACCAAGCTGGGTTAGGTAAAATACCACATCTCCTTGTTTTAACCTTAATCCTGAGTATACTAATTAGCCAAAAGCTAGTTGGTCTCTCTTTTTAGACTGGAAGCCCTCTGCAGGCAGGGACTGTCTGCACCCAGCACCATGGACCAACCAAGCTTCTCCAATTTGACTGATAATTCCTGGAGTGTCATGGCCTCTCCCCCTACTGGGTCTCGGGCCCTTGCTTCCCAGGATCCAGAGACACAGGAGATGCCCTGACTTCTCCCTGGACCAAAAATTCCAGCTACATCCAGGTGTCCTGTGTGGGAGGGGAATGAGAGTGCTGGCACAGTATCCACTCACCCCACTCCTCCATCTTCTTCCCCAGACCAATTAGACCAGTGTAGACAGCCTTCTCCCGCCACAGCCAGCAAGCCTGCTGATGATCCTGTGACCAGCTGCCTATTAAGGCCAGATATGAGCATGACAAATGTGAATGCTATGGTGGTCACATTTAGTGACCCCCTTCCCAGAGCTACCTATACCTCAGAGGCCAGCTCATTAACTCACTTCAGGCCACCAAAGGGCAAAGGAAGGCTGGGTGAGGAGGTAGGGAGCTTTTGGGGTGGGGGAACCAGGGCTAGTGTTGCAGGATGAGAATGTCTGCTGCTTCCCTAGTCTGGTGCAGATTGGCCAAAGAGAAGGAGAACCCTTTTCCACATTTCCCCCCATGACTGCAGGAATGGCTCCGATGGATACTTGTGGACACTGGACACTGTGTCTGACATGACACCCCATAGGAGACACATTGATTATTCCAATTTTCGTAAAGTAGTCTGGAGAGAGTAATTCCAGTCACAGAGCCAGGCTCCAGAACTCTGTCATATGCCCCCAATGAGGAGCGGAGCACACCTGTTTAGTGACGACTTAGCTTCTGTTTCTTCAGTAAAGTGGGCTTCATGAAGCTGACATCGTCGGTTCCAATAAATGGAGGATGGAAAGCCCTCTGTAAAGTTATGAAGAATGGTTTTCTTTCCTGGTCGTTATAACCAGCCAGGCTGCAAAGTGTGGAGCTCAGATCCAGCCCTGCCCTTGTTGGAGTTTCAGTCTCTATTTCCTCAGGCCTCCCTCTCCCAAGGCTGGCAATCGAGGGCAGGCTTAGAGCGAAGCCCATTTCCCCCTGGAGGTGATTTCACATTTAGGCCGCATGTAGGAGCCAGGACACAATGAGGGCCAGATCACCCCAGCCCCGCCCGGTGCCTTGAGCCCGCAGCCTTCCTTGCGGCCGGCAGGTGGCAGCACCGGCCCAGGTTGGGGCGGGTTTGGTGGCGGGGGCTCGCCGAGCGGTTCCTAACTTTTTCGCGTTGGCTCCTTCCCGCGCGGCCTCGGATCCCAGCTCGGCAGCGGTGGGTGGGGAGCGCGGGGCGGGGACGGCGGGGCGCAGGCGCTGGTTTGCTCCGGGCGCTAATTAAGAAGCTGTGTCGCTTGCTCACGTCCTCAGCGCAGGAGCTGCGGGGCCCGGGCGCCCTGCGCGCTCGCCTGGCACCGCGGGCGGAGGAACGTGTCGCCATCTCCACGCTCCGCGAGGGCGAAGCGCCAGGACCCCGGGTTCCCTTTCCCAGCTTGGAGCGTACCAGTCTGGCGCAGGGCAAAAGGACACCAGCGGGCCTGAAGTCTGGGCCTCTCGGCAGAGAAAGAAAAGAGAACTAAAACCAACATCAGCTCAGTCTCCTAAGATTTTCACTGCTCTAATAAAGTCGGCAGGGTATGGATTTTACAGAGGAGGAAACAGGAGTAGACATTAAGTCAAGTGGCCAGTTACCAAGTGCATCATCTCCAAACTTGTAGACGCCCAGCCCAGTGCTCATCCCAGTTACCTGTACTGTGCCTTTGCCCTTTCTCCGGGAAACATTAGCTCTTTAGATGCTCAGCCTCTCACACTCCCTTAGAGAGGGAGGAGAGGCAGGTGAACAGGGGCTCACCAAGAGAAGTTCCATAGTTGTAATTACAAGGGGGGAGTGCAGCCATGTCATCAGTTCTCAAAAGGATACTTTAAGTCAGAAGGGAAAAGTTCTCAGACGAGAGAGAGAATGGGGTGGCAGTGATGACCCTGGGCCATAAAAGTACAAGGGGAGAGGCAGGGGAAACCCCCAGAGATAATGGGAGAAAAGGAGGTGATGAGGTCCAGGGAGTGGCTTTACTGCTCCTTTCCTCCAAGGAGAGATGTGGCTAGTGGCTCTTGTGTCCTACTCTCAGGGCCAAGACCACACTTCAGCTGTGGCCCAAGAGCCTCTGTTCTCTGTTCCCACCCTCCCCTCCCCATCGCTTAGATTCCAATACAATTTTCAACTAACCAGCATGTCGATAGAACAAGTCGGGCGGCGGGATTGCTGGCCAATTACAGGAAATCATTCTGCTCCACAGCTCCATGCCTGCAGAGAGAGGGGGCGAGGGAGGAGGGAGGGAGAGGAGAGGGAGGAAAGGGAGAGTGGAGCGGTTTGAGGAGCATCGCAGCCTGTGGGATGAAAGGGGCCCCAGGCCCAAGCTGGAAGTGCTGCTGCCCCAGGAGGGGAAGGGATGGGAGCGCAGGGGTGGATGGGAAGCTCCTGGAGGTGTTTGACGTGGTTCCTCTCAGTCTCTTAGAGCTCTGGGTTCCAGCTCCCCAGGAGCCCTGGGGGCGGAGGTGGTGGGAAGGGCCTGGGAGGCAGCTCCTGGGAACCAGAGGAGGAGGTGAAACAACCCTCTGCACAGCCCACAGCCCGGTGTAGGCAGAGTGGGAACGAACAACACCCAGTGCTCCCTTAGCTAATGATTCCCGCAGGCCCACCAGGAGCCGAGTGTTGGGCCTGCAGAGACAATACAGGCAGGGCTTCCAAACCCAGCCTTGGATCCAGGGGTGTTCTAGGGAGACACAGGAATATAAAAGGGGAGAGGGGAGGATGGGGCTGCAGCCTGAAGCCAAATGGACCAGCAGCAGCCTGGCTTGGGTCCTAGCACCTAGAAGATGGAGCAGGGCCTCCTCCACCTTCTCATTCACCTCAGCCCTGAGGAATCGGCCTGCACCCCAGCTTTCTACTCCCACACCCCCAGCTCTGCTTTTCTGGTCTCCCTGGCTGGCACTTAGCTGCCCTCATCCCAATCTCTGCAGCACCCCTCCCTGAATAGCCTCACCCCAGCTGCCTGGCCCCAACACCAATGCTTAGCACCCCCTTCCATGCACCTAGAATCTGTCCCTCCATGAAGACTTGTCAGGAGCAGAAACTTCTTTGTGGACAAACTTGACCCAGTGAGTAATAATTGTCACCATATATGTGTTGAGAAAAAAAAAAAAAAAGGAGGAAACTGGCCCAGTAGTCTCCCCCACTGCCCTGGGCTGTAACCCCCTTTCTTCCTCCCCTGCCCTGGGCTGTAGCCCCCTTCCCTCCAGCAGACTGCCTAATGCAGACCCTCAGGTGTCCATTGGGGATGGAGGTGGGATTAACCCTCAGCTCTTGGACCAACCCTAGGACCAAGGATGGGGAGTTGGGCAGGTACAGACAGGAGATGGGCTCAGCACCCAGCTTCGAACATCCAGCAGAGCTCAGCAAGTTGGAGTGACTGCTGTCGAATGGGAGAGTCATCAGCAAAGTTCCTTCGGTGGGTGTACTTGGGGGAAAGGGGTCAACACCCCCCTCCCCCGGTGTTCCCCCTCCCCCGGAGTTCCTGCCCGAGCGTACAGGTCTAATGTCCAGGGAGCGGGTGTGCAGGGGCGGCCCTGTCATAGCACCTGACGTAGAGCGCAGTCCTGCGCGCGGAGCTGAGTCAGAGCTCGGGCTCCGGTGCCGCCCCTCCCTCCAGCGCCGCCTGCCGCGGGCCGGGCGCCCGGTGCTTGGTGTTCCGGAAGGGGGCGCTCGCCCGGCAGGCCGAGTCCTGGGCGCCCCTAGCCGGGTGCGCGGGGCTCCGCAGCCCGCAGGCTCAGCGCCATCGATCCGGCCACCAGGACCCGGGCGTGCCGCCCTCCCCTCACCCCTCGCTTTTCGCTTTTTATTGAAGTTTGTTTGAGCAGAGCGTGGAGCGGGCAGAGGCAGAAACCAAATATTTAGTTGCTGCAAATTGGCACCTCCAGATCAATTACCCGGCCCGTGTCAAGCCCGCGCCGCCCCTCGAATCTCAATGCCGCCCCCGCCCGCCCGCCTCCATTCCGCAGCACGTTTCTCATCAGCTCCGGCCATACATCACCCGTGGCCGCGAGGGGAACAGATTTTCAATGGGAAAAGTTCCCCGGGAGGATCCTAGTTGCTGATTCTCCCTGCACCGGGTGCTGTCTGTCTTCCCCTCCCCCCAGATGGCCCGTTTGGTGGAGACAAACCGAGAGCAGGGGAAACTGGCCAGGCTCGAGCTTTCTGGAACCGGATCCAATGCCAGCAACTTTTCCTTACCAGCCAGGTGACTATGGAGAAGTGAATTATGCTCGCCTAGCCAGGGTTTCCAAACCCTCTGTTTTACAAGACTCAACCTTCACCTTCAGGGTTGCTGA